GAAATATCACTCTGTATGATTTGTACCTGTTTCTTGTAGAAACATATAGAAATATCACTCTGTATGATTTGTAGTTGTTTCTTGTAGAAACATCTAGAAATATCACCCATCACGCTCTTACATAGAAACATTTTTCTTTTACTACCGTTGTATGACAATGTTGACAGCTGTGTGATGTTTTGGTTTACAGTAGGAGGTCCTGATTGGTCGTTGTTGTAACGTCTTTAACGTCAGTATTTGTGACACCTAATAGTGTCAGTACTTCTGACACCTAATAGTGTCAGTATTTGTGACATCTAATATTATCAGTGTGTATGTGTGACGGAGTGCTCTGTGTGTGTGTGTTGCGGATGTGTTGACGTGTATGTTGTTGTACGGAGTGAACGAGGGTAACAAGGGAAGCGACTGGTGGAGAGATAGCTGTTGTGCTGTGAGCGGGAATAAGGTGTGTAGCGGTGGACGTGTGTGGTAGTCAGAGGCTGCGAATAGAACGATGAGGAAGTAGATCTGTGGTGTCGGCGTTATGACTGGGAACAGAGAAACGTGATATTTAACAGACTTGATGCACCCTAACCTCAACGGCTTGTATTGTTCTGTATATACATGTGTTTCGTTACGAAGTTCGCCCCCCCCCCCCCCCCCACAGTCAGTATTTATGAGGCAGTATTTGCGATACAACGAAACGTCATTATTTGTATTTGTAACAACTAATATTGTCAGTATTTGCTACACATAGAGTCGTCATTTAAACCTAATATTATTATTCGCGATGTCCACAGAGTAGCTTTCAGCTTTTTAAAAAAATATATTTTCGTGACATCCAATGTCGACAGCATGTGTGACGTCCAGTATTAGCTGTTCTCTTGACGTCCCGTATAAAAAGACGTCCCTGTAATACTTTTATAAACCCACGTCTTTAAAAAATATTACAACTCCAGTCGTATGACTGGCGGTTATAGATTAAACATGAATACATTTGTCAGAAAATCGAATTTAATATGGTTTATCTTCCTTGCATTGATAGCCTCCCTTGCTTTATCAATTATTTTTTAACCCCATTATTGATTCCACGTAAAACGAATCCTCTCGTGTTTTTAAAAGTAAACTTTAAACATTGTGGGCAAAAAAAGAAAAGATAACATTTGAAGTATGTATCAGCCCGTCCGTTAAGTCCCAGGGGCTAAATTAGGGCAAATGGAGCAGTATGGCTAGAAACATCAGGCAAGGCTGGACCTTCTAGTGTTGATGCGATCCTGTTTTGAATTATTCAATAGTTTTTCTTTTATGTTTTGCTTTTGTAAAGAATATCAAAACATTTATGTTGAATTTATACCTGAGCCCTATCGGTGAAGTAGTATGTAAAATGTTTTTAAACAAGTAGCATTACAAATGTGTTTCATGGGCTGGAATATTTAAATCTTCGTTTCAATAGTTGTGGATGTTTTTGTTGGATCTCTAGAAATTTTTTTTTTAAATTAAATGACTAATAACACAAGATTATCGTTTGCAAACATTTGACGTAACATTGCGATAGATTTTAAATGTAAAAAAAAAAATTATAAACTTTGAAAAAAAATAACTTTAAGCCAACGATCTTTCTTCGATATTCAAAACATGAATGGGTTGTTGCTTTTTTAGTTCTGTTGTGAATTGTAACGTAACCCTATCCGTCCTATTACTTGGGAGGACCGCTAGTATACTGTACCTTCTTTAAATATACCTGGCTCAACAGAATTTACATAACAAATGTATGCTATTTTTACCTGGCGTCAAGAGAACAACCTGTTTGTTTTGTTTAGCTGTCATATGTTTTCTTGGGCTGAGATTTGTTGTGTTGGGCTGTCATCTGTGTCATTCACGCTTGCAGTTGTCATGACGTCATCAAGCATTATTCAAGCAGTGGTTCTCAATGCATTGTGTTTTGGTACGAAACGTGGCCCGCTTCCCTATACAAAATGTTGCGACCTTAAGATTATGTCAATTGCCCTTTGGAGAAACCATTTCGAGCCAGGCGATCAATAGGACAGATGAAGTAGAGTTCACGTGTTTCACGCATATGAAGTGATGTTTTGTCGGGCAGTCATCTGTTTATTTTCCATTGTCACGTGACCATCACAGCTGGGTGGACTCAGGAAAACCCTAAGGAGCCCGAGAATGGACCTCTAGACTTTCGGGTTAAAGGTATATCGCTCTACTGCTTGACCACATGACCCAGATAACGACCAATGCTTTTACATTTTCACGACACGACTATACATTTCAGGAAACTAACTATATCTTCATTACCTGTAACGAGTGGTCGATGACTCTGCTAACACTATTCTCTGCAACTAAAGACCATAAACCAACTGCCCCATAATATTCCAGTCAAAGTTCAATGACCCCCCCAGCAATTTTCAACAAATCCGGATAATCCCCGCGTAGCTCACCCCAGTCCCACGTGGCTGTTTACATCTAATCCGATCACGTGAAGGGTCGGCAACGTTTTCTTCCGAGAAATATAAAAATATAACTAAATGAGATTCATCTTCTGACGAAGACCTACAAGCGAGAGTAATTTACAAATTCAGATAAAGGTTGTCGGATTGCTCTCGCGGAAAATATCGCTCAACTCTCGTGAGATGTTTTGTACTGTGCGAGTGGTTTTTTGTACTGTGCGAGTGATTTTTTGTACTGTGCGAGTGGTTTTTTGTACTGTGCGAGTGGATTTTTGTACTGTGCGAGAGGTTTTTGTACTGTGCGAGAGGTTTTTGCTGTGCGAGAGGTTTTTGTACTGTGCGAGAGGTTTTTGTTGTGCGAGAGGTTTTTGTACTGTGCGAGAGGTTTTTGTTGTGCGAGAGGTTTTTGTTGTGCGAGAGGTTTTTGTACTGTGCGAGAGGTTTTTGTACTGTGCGAGAGGTTTTTGTACTGTGCGAGAGGTTTCTGTACTGTGCGAGAGGTTTTTGTTGTGCGAGAGGTTTCTGTACTGTGTGGGAGATTTTTGTACGAGGTTTTTGTTGTGCGAGAGGTTTTTGTTTGTACTGTGCGAGAGGTTTTTGTACTGTAGGCTCCCATGTTCTTTTTTTCTCCCCAGATTTAGCGCATGCGCGTCGTGATACTTTGCTTAAATTGTATCCTGTGATCGGGCTTTTGAGTTCATTCAAGATATCTGAAAGCTAAGGCATAACTTCTAGAAGTGATTAGGGGCACGAGTCGATATAACGATATGCCATTAGGTAGTTTCCCACGATATGCCATTAGGTAGTTTCCCAGGATATACCGAGAGGAGGCTTAATATGGAGGGTTGGGCGGGGGGGGTCCATAAAGATAAAGGAACCACTGTTGCATCTAGCACAGCAATTTTGTATGTTGACAACATAATTATTATGCCATCTAAAAGTAACATGAAATTAAGCGGGAGTGATCTCCCCTAAACTTTCTCGTATAGTACTACGGGGGAAAGGGGGGGGGGGCACTGATACTGTTAAAAGAATATATTTTCTATATAAATTCAATTTCGTTCGGGTAAGGGGGGGGGGTAGAAATGTCGGGTATCACGTGACCTGGCTGCTATTGACTGCGACAACCAATCGTCCCAACTGCAATCGACAGCGATTGATTTCGCCATTATCTCCCGCACGCGATAGTTCCGGTGGATGAAATCGTTGTAAAAACAATACTGTGGCTGTTAACACATTAATTTGTTGACGGTTATTTAAACAACTTAATGGCCGAGTAAAGTGAGTGGGTTAAATTATACAGGGACGTGTTAGGATGCAGAGAGGCGGCACCGTATGCGTGGGGCGGCGTTGGGGAGGGGTCGGGTTCACAATTACTTGCAGGTCCCCTCCCCGAGCACATCCACCGCCCGCCCCCCCCCCCCCCCCCAACACGAAGTAGAAAAAATATATAATAATTTATTTAGAAAAAATAATTTAAAGTGTACCCCTCCCTTCCTGTAAGCTTCAAGAGAAATTAATACTTATTAGTTGTAAGAATGGGAGAGTGGCTTATTGAACAAAATAAAATAAAAACACAATCGGAGATTTATATTAAAGGGCATGGAAAATATGAAAAAAAAAATTCTTAAACGGCCCTGCCGTTATGTATACTATAAATTGTAACATTTACGCTTAATATTATCAATTTATCTCTTTGAATTACACAATTGTTTTAGAAAATTCTTTAAAGGGGCGTCAATAAACGTCTTTACGCTTTTTTTGACAATTTAACCCCCACCACACTTCACCCCCCCCCCCTCCCACACACCCACCTTAATGTCAAACATCATCAAAAACTCAGACCCTCCCAAAATTGTACAGTTAGTTTCTGAAACAGCGGGGATTTTTTTCTAAATTAATAAGCGCGCTGGGCTAACATTGGTTTTATTGATCCATTTTTTATCAGAAGCAACAGCTGATTGAGAGCAAGAAAATGAAGACATTGCCTACCCTTCCTTGTCATCACCATAGCCTGAGCCCCACCCCCAACCCTCCAAGGGGTGCGGCGCCGTGTATGACGACCCCCCCCCCCCCAACATTTGATTCTGCCTGATGTTTACTCTCATGAATGTGTTCAGCTGAGCTAGTTTTCCTTAGGTGTTGTGTTTCATCGAACTCAACACAACCGTCCAGTCGTGCTAAAGAGTCATTAGCTCAAGTCATTACCCAAAGTCATCCACTACAATGACTGCTTACCAAAAAATTGTCCGCTAAGAACAATCCAATTTCAGTAGTAGTACATCGAGTGTAAACCTAAGTGATTTTTCTTTATAAAAGTTATTCCCCTTTACAAAAGCTATCTCCTTTGCTTTGTCCGAGCTTTTTATCCTGTTAGCTTAGTTATTTTTTAGGTGGATTTCTTGTTACTTTGTCTGTTGTTTTTTCCCCGTGTTTTTGTCTGTCTTTTTTCTTGTTTTTGTTTTTCTTGTTTGTTTGTTTTGTTGTTTTTTTTTGTTTAGATTTTAATCTTGATTGTAATGAAACTACAAGCAATAAGTCCGTGACCTTAACTCTCCCCAGGTGGAGTTCAATCGCAGATCACGTGACTTCCTGTCGTGCCTGGGCGTGGACTTTGACGCCCTGGAGGGGTGCCTGGAGAACAACATCTTCCACACGAGAGTCGGCGTCTTCCTGGAACACCTGATGAACATGCTCAGCTGGAGAGTGGTACCCGTCACCCTGCGCATCGGGGTCAAGGTAAGCGGCCATTTTGTTGGGTGGGTCAAGGTCAGTGTTCATTTTGTTGGGTGGGTCAAGGTAAGCGGCCAGTTTGTTGGGTGGGTCAAGGTCAGTGTTCATTTTGTTGGGTGGGTCAAGGTAAGCGACCAGTTTGTTGGGTGGGTCAAGGTCAGTGTTCATTTTGTTGGGTGGGTCAAGGTAAGCGACCAGTTTGTTGGGTGGGTCAAGTTCAGTGTTCATTTTGTTGGGTGGTTCAAGGTCAGTGGTCATTTTGTTGGGTGGGTCAAGGTAAGCGGCCCCAGTATACCACCTAGATACAGAACCCCACCACTTTCATATTCACCGAAACCTTCATAGTTCTACCGTCCGCATTGACAAAATCCAACCATGAATCGTATGTGTCTAGACCTCCGCCGTACCCCTTAGACTGACCCCTGGGGTTCGATCGAAACCAGTCTAAGAACCACCGTATAATTTGGTAAACTTTTAGTTGACCACTGGAAAACATTGAATTGACCACAAAAAATTATTATTGACCACAAGAATACGTTTGGTTGCCCTAGATACCTGAGTGTAATTAAGCAGGTCAATTAGGTGCCCTTTTTTTTACATATCCATAATCCCAAGGTCAACCCAGTGCAAGCCTGTATCGACATTGTGTTTGCTTAATTACCTGCTGAATCAACTAGTTCGATATCGATTTCCCCCGATCAGTTTAGACTGGTACGTGTATAATTAACGTTAATGAACGCATTGAAAGCAGGTCGGGAGTGGTCGTATTATCTGAGCCAAATATACGTGTCTCTATAGAGATGGCTATTCACACATCCGTGGTTTAATTAGTGCTGTATGGCGTCGTCAGGGGGCTGTGGGCGTGGTTTTGTCACGTGGTACAGTTGTAGAAATGTTTGAAGATTCAGTTAGAGTTGCCGTCCCTAGACCGGTGGCTACAGTATAACTGTGATAGGGGCTCAAGGGTGTTGATGGACAAATGACGTGTGTATAGGAAATGTCAGTTCAGTAGTGTCATGGTGTGTAACAGATGTCAGCTCAATGGTGTCATGGTGTGTAACAGATGTCAGTACAATGGTGTCATGGTGTGTAACAGATGTCAGCTCTATGGTGTGGTGTCATGATGTGCAGCAGATGTCAGTTGAATGGCGTCATGACGAAAATCAGATGTCACCTAAATGGTGTCATGGTGTGTAGCATATGTCAACTCAATAGTATGGTGTCAGTGGTGTCATGATATGCAGCAGATGTCAGCTCATGGAATAAAAATGACAAAATTATCTCAGACGATTCAATTCTTAAAAAAAAATTCAATTAAAAAAACCAACCTCTTTGTAAGATCTCGTAAAAAATGAGTTTTAAAACATTTAAGCCTCGTACATTTAATATAACACTGTCAATTTTAAAAAAATCACCCTCTGAGATAAGCGCTGTTGTAACGGGAGCTAAGCTGACAGTTGTACGTAGTTCACCCTTATTTAGCTCACATTCAGGGATGTAAGGATTTTTAAAAATGACGTCACATCCGCTCGGTTCTGCATGTCCCTGGTGGAGTTGTACAAAGTGTATCGTTCAACAGCCAAAATAGCTGGCCAATTATAAACGAGCTTTCATCACGCGATGGGCTTCTCTGACCCCTGATTTATACTTGGTCGGAGTCAACTGACCCCTGATTTATACTTGGTGGTCTTTTGTCTGACCCCTTATTTATACTTGGTGGTGGTTTGACTGACCCCTGATTTATACTTGGTGGTATTTTGTCTGACCCATGATTTATACTTGGTGGTATTTTGTCTGACCCCTGGTTTATATTAAATGAGATTTGTCTGACCCATTTTTACTTTCTCGTATATACGAAGTATAGAGAAAGTATTGTAATCGTGCACAAAAATCACTTGAAATTTTAACAATTTTCACCGTATTACTACATCTCAGTCCTTCATCACATCCGAAGTATAGAGGACTTATTTTAATCGGGCAAAAATTATCAATCCAGATTGATCGAAATTAAAGAGGTTTTATGCGTAATCCAGTCTGAAAAACTGGGCTTTGCAATTCTGTCCGTATGTCTGTGTGTGTGTCTGTGTGTGTGTCCGTGTGTAAACACGATAATTTGAGTACCGTTACAGCTAGGTTGATGAAATTTCATATATAAGTATTTTATCAAAATCGTAGATCCGTATCAACTTTTAAGCGATTTCCGATAACCGGAAGTGGTACTTTTTCTACTTTGAATTTTTCAAAAGCCTATAACTTGAGTACTATTTCAGATAGATAAATGAAATTTCACATGTAAGTATAAGATCTAATTCTCTACCTTCTGTTAAATTTTGAGTAATTTCCGTTGACCGGAAGTACTTATTTACGCTACTTCCGATTTCTCAAAAAACAAATATAAATTTTTTAAGTACTAATAATATTGCGCACTATTATGCACTTTTTTATTTGGCGTTCACTTGGTGTGCAATCTTTTGTCTACGAGATTTTATTCTATTTTTAAAACTGTAAGTATTTAAAATGGATTAAAAATCATGTCTATAGCCCGAGTTCTCATCCCCTGTTGTTTTATATAAGAATATTCGAGAAAGTTTAGGGGAGATCACTCCCGGTTTATTTATATTAGGAGGGAGTAAACTGACTCCTGATTTATAGTACTTGTGGTGAAATTTAAGGTAAAAAAAAAATTCTCAATGAAATAAATAATTAGAAATGTAACCTTAGAAACAAAAAAAAATTGTTTTCAAGTTCACTGCATTTGAAACTTTTATAAGATTGACTTTTAAAATATTAATTTTTAAAATTTTGTTCAGCTGACGTTTTTATTTTTATGTTCGCTTGGAAGGCGAAATTGACAAAAAAACTGTTGTTTTTTTTTCCTTGTCACCAATATTGATCTGAGGCATCTCATCAACGGAGTTGCGTCTACTGCATATTATTTTTGATGCGTCGAAATTTAAAAAATACTCCGTTAATATTTTTTTTTAAATTTTAAACGCAAGTTCTTAACTTAAGTCATAGGTTCTTAACGATTTAAACAGTAGTGAAAAGTTAAAAAGAATTGTTTATTTTGTGAATTACATCCCATTTCATACATTTAATTAAATCAAGGTAAACAACCTATAATCCATACTTATATTTTCAAATGGTAATTGTTTTTTAATTTGACTGAAATTAAATATAAAATAAAAGTAACCAGTTTTTACATTATGTATATGTCTTACAAAATATTGTCATATATTTGCCGTTAATTGATGTTAAAATGATTTATTGACTCTTATTTAAAACAGAAAACTATTAGCTAAATCAAATTCCTAATTTGTAAAGGTGCGAAAGATCTGTAAAAGTTGTATTGCTGATGTCACGTTCTAATATTATGTTTCCACAAACGCCTATGTTTAAAACAATACCAAAACTGGTAAACATGGTTAGCAAATGGTTAGCTCGAACGGTAAATAAACATCCACATGATATATATATATATATATATATATATATATATATATATATATATATATATATATATATATATATATATATATATATATATATATATATATATATATATATTTAAAATAAATAACTTAAAATATGAAACTATATGTATTCATATAAAAACATACACATGTTTCTCACAAAACATATTAAAGTAGTTTAGCAAGCTCTGCTCGAAATTAGAAACTTTACATTGTTATTAGATCTAAATCTTTAATTACCGAGTATTGCAGACTAATATTTTTATGAGTTTTAAAAATAAATTAAAATAATTATTAATATTTGTGCATGGAGCTGAGGGGGCGCATCTTGACATCAAAAGAGCCGCATGCGGCTCGCGAGCCGCAGGTTGCCGACCCCTGGCACAAAAACACTGCTGGAGTAGAGTAATCCGCCCTTACATAAGACAACAATGTGTATTGTGAGAAGCCTTGATTCGATCTGTAACTCTAATTATCCACCCTTACAGGTGACGATAATTTAAACTCTACAACAATAATTTAACCCCTACAACCATAATTTAAACCCTACAACCATAATTTAAACCCTACAACAATAATTTAACCCCTACAAACCATCACCAGTCCACATCAATCTAGATTGACCCTCGAAACCGTTTTTTTATCGACTGCAACATCACAACCGGGTGTTGACCTCTGGAATAACCGGTGACACGTCTGCTCAAGCAGACGATATAAGAACCGGAAGTTTTTTTTTTTTAAATCATTAAAAAATGTTTTAATAACAAGCTTTTATGTAATAATGCACTAAAAAGTAGAAAATAAATTATACACTACTATTTAAATAACTATAAAGTGAGTTCTTGAGTCATATCCGGTCACGTGCGTCCGGTCTCCATAGCGTCATGTACGGCTCTTTAGCATCATACCCAGCCGATTCTTAACATCATGTCTGATTTATCAACATCATGTCCAGATGTCAGGAGTCTCTCGCCGAATCCACGTCTGCGACATCTGTTACGCCAAACTTTAACCTTTTTATATCGATTAGGTCTAACGCTATTCTCTTTTTACATCAACTAAGCCTAACGCCTAGCCTCCTACTGTCAACTAAGGCTAACGCTAGCCTCCTGATGTCAACTAAGCCTAACGCTAGCCTCCTGATGTCATCTAAGCCTAACGCTAGCCTCCTGATGTCATCTAAGCCTAACGCTAGCCTCCTAAAATTCGCCAGAGTAAAAAGTCAAACAAAACAAAACCACCCGCCCCGAAACAAATAAACGGATCTTATTTCTGTCGCGGCATCACACCAGGGGAGCGATTCATCCGCCAGTCAATAATAGCTTTAGTGAGGCTGGTCGTCAATGTGTGAGATGGTCTGTGGGGATCTGTCGGTGGTAACACAAACATCCGGGTTCTCATGTTTGGAGTAATGATCGACCTGGTAATATCAGGGGAGGGGGCGCAGCTGCTGATTAGGGGTTATTTTTAGATTATTTTTTTTCCGATTTGGGAATAATAAATCGTTAAATAACAAGAACAAATAGCAAATAC